TAAAAAAACAAGTCCCATCAAAACGCTGTCTGCAAGAGACTTATTTTAGACCCAATGACACCTCCAGATTTAAAGTGAGGGGGTGGAAAACCATTTACCATGCTAACGGAAATCAAAAGAAAGCTGAGGTGGCAATCCTTATATCACACAAATTAGATTTTAAATCAAAGACTATAATAAGAGATGAGGAAGGACACTACATCCTACTTAAAGGTCTATCCAACAATAAGATCTAACAGTTGTAAATATCTATGCCCCTAACATGGGAGCAGCCAATTATATAAGCCAATTAATAATAAAATCAAAGAAACACATCGAAAATAATACAATAATGGTAGGAGAATTTAACACCCCCTCACTGAAATGGACAGATCATCTAAGCAAAAGATCAACAAGTAAATAAAGGCTTTAAATGACACACTGTACCAGATGGACTTCACAGATATATTCAGAACGTTCCATCCCAAAGCAACAGAATACACATTCTTCTCTAGTGCTCATGGAACATTCTCTAGAATAGATCATATCCTGGGTCACAGATCAGGTCTCAAATGGTACCAAAAGATTGGGAACATTCCTGCATATTTTCAGACCACAATGCTTTGAAACTAGAACTCAATCACAAGAGGAAAGTCAGAAAGAACTCAAATACATGGAGGCTAAAGAGCATCCTACTAAAGAATGAATGGGTCAACCAGGAAATTAAAGAAGAATTAAAAAAATTCATGGAAACCAAAGAAAATGAAAACACAACTGTTCAAAATCTTTGGGATGCAGCAAAGTCTGTCCTAAGAGGAAAGTATATAGAAATATAAGCCTTTCTCAAGAAACAAGAAAGGTCTCAAATACACAACCTAACCCTACACCTAAAGGAGCTGGGGAAAGAACAGCAAATAAAGCTGAAACCCACCAGGAGAAGAGAAATAATAAAGATTAGAGCAGAAATCAATGAAATAGAAACTGAAGAAGAGTAGAACAGATCAACGAAACTAGGAGCTGGTTCTTTGAGATAATAAGATTGATAAACCCCTGGCCAGACTTATCCAAAAGAAGAGAAAGGACCCAAATAAATAAAATCATGAATGAAAGAAGACAGATCAGAACCAACACCGAAGAAATACAAACAATTATAGGAACATATTATGAGCAACTATATGCCAGAAAATTAGACAATCTAGAAGAAATGGATGCATTCCTAGAGACATATAAACTACCAAAACTGAACCAGGAAGAAATAGAAAACCTGAACAGACCCATAACCAGCAAGGAAATTGAAGCAGTCATCAAAAATCTCCCAACAAACAAGTGCCCAGGGCCAGATGGCTTCCCAGGGGAATTCTACCAAACATTTAAAGAAGAATTAATACCTATTCTTCTGAAACTGTTCCAAAAAATAGAAATGGAAGGAAAACTTCCAAACTCATTTTATGAGGCCACCATTACCTTGATCCCCAAACCAGACCTCATCAAAAAGGAGAGTTACAGACCAATATCCCTGATGAACATGGATGCAAAATTTCTCACCAAAATACTAGCCAATAGGATCCAACAGTACATTAAAAGGATTATTTACCATGACCAAGTGGGATTTATTCCTGGGCTGCTAGGTTGGTTCAACATCCACAAGTCAATCAATGTGATACAATACATTAATAAAAGAAAGAACAAGAACCATATGATCCTTTCAACAGATGCAGAAAAAGCATTTGACAAAGTACAGCATCACTTATTGATTAAAACACTTCACAGTGTAGGGATAGATGGTACATACCTCAATATCATAAAAGCCATCTATGAAAAACACACAGTGAATATCATTCTCAATGGGGGAAAAAATGAGAGGTTTTCCCCTAAGGTCAGGAACATAGCAGGGATGTCCATTATCACCACTGCTATTCAACATAGTACTAGAAGTCCTAGCCACAGCAATCAGACAACAAAAAGAAATAAAAGGCATCCAAATCAGCAAAGAAGAAGTCAAACTCTCACGTTTTTAGATGATGTGATACTTTATATGGAAAAGCCAAAAGACTCCACCCCAAAACCACTAGAACTCATACAGGAATTCAGTAAAATGGCAGGGTATAAAATCAATGCACAGAAATCAGTGGCATTTCTATAAACCAACAAGGCAGAGAAAGAGAAATTAAGGAGTCGATCCCATTTACAACTGCACCCAAAACCATAAGATACCTAGAATAAATCTAACCAAAGAGGCAGAGAATCTGTACTCATAAAACTATAGAATACTTATGAAAGAAATTGAGGAAGACACAAAGAAATGGAAAAATGTTCCATGTTCATGGACTGGAAGAACAAATATTGTGAAAATGTCTATGCTACCTAGAACAATCTACACATTCAATGCAATCCCTATCAAAATACCATCCACTTTTTTTCAAAGAAATGGAACAACTAATCCTAAAATTTGTATAGAACCAGAAAAGACCCCGGATAGCCAGAGGAATGTTGAAAAGGAAAAGCAAAGCTGGCAACATCACAATTCCAGACTTCAAGCTCAATTACAAAGCTTTAATCATCAAGACAATATGGTACTGGCACAAAAATAGAAACATAGATCAATGGAACAGAATAGAGAGCCCAGAAATGGACCTTCAACTCTATGGTCAACTAATCTTCGACAAAGCAGGAAAGAGTGTCCATTGGAAAAAGACAGTCTCTTCAACAAATGGTGTTGGGAAAATTGGACAGTCACATGCAGAAGAATGAAAGTGGATCATTTCCTTACACCACACACAAAAATAAGACTCAAAATGGATGAAAGACCCAAATGTGAGACAGAAATAAATCAAAATCCTTGAGGAGAACACAGGCAACAACCTCTTTGACCTCAGCCACAGCAACTTCTTCCCAGAAACATCTCCAAAGGCAAGGGAAGCAAGGCCAAAAATGAACAATTGGGACTTCATCAAGAAAAAAGCTTTGCACAGCAAAGGAAACAGTCAACAAAACCAAAAGACATCTGAGGGAATAGGAGAAGATATTTGTAAATGACATATCAGATAAAGGGCTAGTATCCAAAATCTATAAAGAGCTTCTTAAACTCAACACCTAAAGAACAAATGATCCAATGAAGAAATGGGCAGAAGACATAAACAGACATTTCTGCAAAGAAGACATCCAAATGGCCAACAGACACATGAAAAAGTGCTCAACATCACTCGGCATCAGGGAAATCCAAATCAAAACCTCAGTGAGATACCACCTCACACCAGTCAGAATGGCTAAAATTAACAAGTCAGGAAACGACAGATGTTGGCGGGGATGTGGAGAAAAGGGAACCCTCCTACACTGTTGGTGGGAATGCAAGCTGGTGCAGCCACTGTGGAGAACAGTATGGAGGTTCCTCAAAAAGTTGAAAATAGAGGTACTGTACGACCCAGCAATTGCACTACTGGGTATTTACCCCAAAGATACAAATGTAGTGATCCAAAGGGGCACATGCACCCCAATGTTTATAGCAGCAATGTCCACAATAGCCAAACTATGGAAAGAGCCTAGATGTCCATCGACAGATGAATGGATAAAGAAGATGTGGTATATATACACAATGGAATATTATGCAGCCATAAAAAATGAAATCTTGTCATTTCAATGACGTGGATGGAACTAGAGGGTATTATGCTAAGCGAAATAAGTCAATCAGAGAAAGACAAGTATCATATGATCTTACTGATATGAGGAAATTGAGAAACAAGACAGAGGATCATAGGGAAAAGGAGTGAAAAATGAAACAAGAAAAAACCAGAGAGGGAGACAAACCATAATAGACTCAATCTCAGGAAACAAACTGAAGGTTGCCAGAGTGGAGTGGGGTGGGAGGTATAGGGTGGCTGGGTGATGGACACTGGGGAGGGTATGTGCTATGGTCAACACTGTCAATTGTGTAAGACTTATGAATCACAGACCTGTACCCCTGAAACAAATAATACATTATATGTTAATAAAAAATATAAAAAAATCTTGGGGAAAAAGGTATGCCCTAGAGAAATTTATAATCTAGTAAGAATCACAGTTCCCTCCTTCACAACACCCTCTCACTGCTTTAATACTTTAAAAAACCTATTCTTCCTGAAGTTCCTAGTGTACAGTACATACCTTTATTGTTTCTTTCATGTCTCATATTTTCTTTTTGGTGAAAACTGGGCATTTTAGATAACATAGTGCAGCAAATCTGGATACTGAGTTCCCCTCCCCTTTGAAGGTTTGATGTTGTTGTTTCCCCGATTATTTACGTAGAAGTCAGGCTGGACCATTTTCTATTGTACTGACGTCTCCTTCCCTGCGGTGTGAAGCTCCTAATGTTGATTCTCCAAGGGCATAGAGTTGGGCATGCACACAGTCACCTTTGGATGACAGCTTCTTAAAAGGGGTCGCGTTCACTATTTCTTTCCTTTGTTTCTCTGTTAAGTTCTCTGCCTCCTTTGACATCACACAAGGATGGATAAGAAGTGTGTGAAACACAGTTCCACCAGGACAAGAGGCAGTAGTATAAACTATGAACTATATGACAAAACTAAAGGTTTCTACTTCACCTGAGATGTTATGAATTTGTTTGGTATTTCAATCATATAGAGGGAATTAGTAACCAATGAAATAACTATCCGCGAAATTCCTCTTCTTACCCATTTCATAAGCTAGAATTTCTGCTTTGCAAATACAAAGCAACTAACCTATGTAGCCGGAAAAAAGAAAGGGAGTACAACAGCATTTGAAATGCTTCCATCAAGCATATTCCAAGCGCAATTTCACATTGGGTTTTTAAGGATCACATTTTAATGGATGAGTTCTAAAACCTATAATATGTGGCTAATTGTCCATTTAGTAACTGCTAGAATTCCACTAATTATAGGAGGGACTTTATGAAGATGTTTTATAATGTCATAATAACACAGGTTTTATAGTCCTTAAAGATCCAAATTTAAACTCCAGAAGAAATAAATAAACCTTAAGTAGACTTGAAATATTTTTGTTCTTACCAGGATGACTCTTTGACTGTGTCTTGATTTCCTTCCTTATTATACCTCTTCCGGTAGCACCTGGGAGGGGCTCTGTATCCATCTCTATAGAAATAAACAGTTTCAAAACACTTTTGTAAGGTAAATGTTAACATATGTGTGTTTGTGTGTCTAATATTCCTCTAGTTAGCATTCCTTACTGTATAGGAGGAGAATTATAATGAAATATCTGGGTTGCAGAAACATAATACCTTACAATCTGAAGAACTATTAGTAGACATGTAACCTCATTATACTGAAGCATAGAGATGTTTACTGATTTGACAAAGGTGACATATCTGGGTAATGACCAAACTGATGCACAAACTGATGCTTCATCTAGGGCTTTACCCAGAAAACATAACGCCTTGTGCAAATTCAAATCACCCCAGAGCATAACTTCCACGTACATTTTAAAAACACATTCATATGGTAGGGATATACCTGGTAAGGCAGGACTTCACAGTTTTTTTTCCCCAGGTCAATTTACAAACTATGGTCAGTGGAGTCACAGACGTTACTGTGAGGCAGAAATTCTTTGACTTGTCCAGGAATCTTTTAATGCTCTCCCTTTTATTAAGTTATGTCACTTTAAATCAAGTAGGCATTAGTGATGGAAAAGAGTATCAAATAACATATGGAATGAGATAAAGTGCTCTCTCAAGTTCCTCTTAGCATGTAGAGCTTCTAGCTGGGGAGGAATAAGTGGGTAATTTGCAATAATGTGAGCATTGGTATTGCATCCCTTTCCATTTGAGTCTTAACATGATTTTTAGCTTTTTCCTGGATGTGGAAACTACTACGTACGTCTAATGACAGAAAAAATAAAAAGAAACTCATCTAAAAGAATTTCACATTGCAAAAGAAATAACTAGAATTAGCGACTCTGGGTTACCTATTGGGTAAAGTTTTGTGGGCAATAATGGTTCTAACACACATATACGTGAAGTGGGAAACACCGTCATGATCCAGACATCACAGATTGGAAGTCTTGCTTTGGAGAAATGACTGAGCCCATGAATTTTAAAGTTTTCACTACCACCATGGCAGCAAAAAATATACTGCCACCGTAACCTAAACAGAGGCAGAGACCTGATGGGACATCATTACTAAAACCAGAGATAAAACTGGATTGGGCAGAACAGGTTTTCAGTAATTAAGTAATGGCATTTGTGAAAGTAATATGAGCTATAGCAATACATAACTGGAAAACATTAGCAGACATATTTTAGCCTTCTGGTCTTTCTCCAACGGATGTAATTAGAAGAACTGAGTCACAGGAATTGAGAAAACAAGGGATTCTTATATGAGGGGGGAGGCAGTGAGAATAGCCCTTGAGTATAGATTGGATTAAACACTAGGATCATAAAAAGTGTATTTAATATATATTAAGAGTCACAATTTTCCTCCTTCACAATAGCCTCCCATTGCTTTAAGTCTTTTTAAAAAATCCTCTGTTGCTTGGAGTTCTCGGAGTTATTTTTTTTTAATATAGCATATTATACATATAGTACACAATTTTCCCATTTTAAGTGTTTAATCAGTCATTATTAATATGTTCATAGAAATGTGTAACAGTCACCACAATTGTTGAATCTACTTAAGATTTATACTCCTCAAATTCCAGTCAGATTTAGAAATGTTACATCATATTTTGGATATAGAGTTTTGTATATTACTCTAAAGTCCTACTCTCTTTCCACACCTCTAAAAATAAATTCATCAGTTAAATTGTTTATTTATAAAAGTTTGTGCCCTATAGAGAAACTGAAAGAAGAGCAAATATGTATAGTGTCTGCTATGTTAATCATTTTATTTATAATATCTAGTTCTCTTTCAGCCATTATTTTTAATTACATTCCCTGCTCTAATTTTGCTGCTCTCATTGTAATACTCTACATTTGCTCATTCTTTCTTCTGACAGTATAAGTCTACTGAGCACTTCTAGTGAATTTTTAAATTTCAGTTACTGTATTTTTCAACTGCTGGATTTCCATGTTGTTCTTTTCAAAATAATATCTTTTCCCTTATAGTTGTTTCCAGAGGGCAATGTCTTTGGACATGCCCACAGTCACCTTTGGATGACAGTGTTTTTAACAGGGTTGTCTTTGTACCTTTCTTTTATATATCCGTTAAGCTGTCTGCCTCTTTGGTATCACACTAGGAGTCAATGGGTAGTGTGTCTATCACTGACATGAGTAAAGGCAGCAGTATCATCTTTGAACTATGTAACACAACTAATGTACTCTACTACAGTTGAGATTGCATAATATGCCTGGTGTTTCCATCAAATAGAGGGAAATGGTAACCAATGAATCAACTATCCTAAATTCCTCTTGTTATTTTTATATTCATGAGGTAGCCTTTCTCCTTTGGCAAATTGGAAGGAATTTTCTCTCCAGGCCAGAAATAGAAAATGAATAGAATAGCATTAGACATACTTTCACCAACCATATTCTAAGGTCACTATAGCATTTAATTTTTTATGGTTTAATTTCTAAATGAATGAGTTCTAAAACTCATAATATCTAAATTTTTATTTCTAGTAAATACCGGGGTATAATGAATTATGAGACTATTCATGAAGATTTTACCTGTATAATAATAACATATAGGTACTCTTGTCATTTAGACCCAACCTTCATTAAACCCCAAAGAAGGTAAACAACCCAGAAATATTAGACTTGGAAAACCCTTGTTCTTACCAGGAAGTCTCTCTGATTGTATCTTCATTTCCTCCACCAATATGCATGTTCCATTAACACATTTCAAGTGTTCTATATTAGTTTCTATAGAAATAAACATATGAAAATACATCATAAGTTAATCATAATGTGTGTGTGTGTAGCACTAATTTAACCAGCCTTGTTGTTAATGAATAAGCATTATAATGAAATATTTGTATTGCAGAATCAGTAGACCTTATTATTGGAAGGGATATTAGCAATCATTAAGCCTCCATATATTGAGGTTTAGAGATGTTAGTGATTTGACCAAGACTGTGTATCCAGATAATGACAAAACTAATACACAAACTCACATCTCATAATCCTTTAACCAGTGCTTTTTCCATACACTGCCATGTCTTATGCTAAATTAAAATATCCTGGAGATAACTTTTGAGTTTCCATTAAAATCATAATCATACTGTAAGGATATACCTAGTGAAGTGGAACATAAAGTTTATTCCCCACAGGTTACATTGCAAATAATGATCTCCATTGCCACAGAAAATTACCAGGGTAGAAATTCTTTGACTAGTCCAAGAATATTTTATGCCCTTTTATGCTATTTAGTTGTAAAAAAAAAAAGAGAGAGAGAGAGAGCAGGTATCAGTAATGGAAAAGAATAGCAAGATATTTTGTGTATTGAGAAAAATAACAGGCTTTCACAGGTCTCTTTGGCATATAGACACTGTAGCTTGGGAGGAGAAAGTGATTAAATTTGCAGAAGTACCAGGATTGAGATTTGGTCTCTTTTCATTGAATTTTTGAATCAAGTAAAACTTTCGAATAGATCCCATTATAAGAAATATATATGAACATGGCTAAAGGAGAGTTTATACTGAAAAAGGAATGGTTACCTAAGGTCAACCACTGACTCTAAAGTTTTGTGGTCAAGTTGGTTCTAACAGCATGTACCTAAATTTGAAAATATGTTATGAACTAGTCACAGAGATGTGGAAGTCTTTCTTTGGAAAAATGGCTGAGTTAATAAATAGTAAAGATTGCACTATGACCTTGGTAATACAAATGTACCAACACTGCAATCTGTATAAAGGTGGTGACCTGCTGCAGCATAACTAAAATGAGATGTGTCAGATTAGGCAGAACAAGTTTTCAATAATGAATTAAGAACAGATTGTGAATGTAATAAGATCTAGAGCACCAAAAACCTGGGGGTATTAGCAGATGTATTTTACTTTATTTTTTTCTAAGATTTTTATTTATTTATTTGACAGAGAGAGACACAGCAGGAGAGGGAACACAAGCAGGGGGAGTGGGAGAGGGATAAGCAGGCTTCCCACGGAGCAGGGAGCCCGATGCAGGGCTTCATCCCAGGATCCTGGGATCATGACCTGAGCCGAAGGCAGACGCTTAATGACTGAGCCACCCAGACACCCCAGCAGATGTATTTTAACTTCTCTGGTTCTTTCTCCAACTGGTATATACAAGAAAGGTTTTTTCATTTGAATTGAGGAAGTAAAGAGCAAAAGAAAATGAGAACAGTATGAGGGAAGATCATGTTAAGTATTAGGAATTAAAAGTTACGTGCTAGAGAAATTTATAATCTAGTAAAAATTACATTTTTCTCTCTTGTCATGTCCTCTCACTTTCCAAATTCTTTTTTTATCCTATTCTTCTCAGAGATCACTGAGTTATTTTAAAAAAAATATATAACAGAGTACATATCTTTTACCTCTTCTGTTAGGTTTATTCCTATGTATCTTGCTGTTTTTGGTGCAATTGTAAACAGGATCGATTCCTTGATTTCTACTTCTGCTTCTTCATTATTAGTGTATAGGAATGCAACAGATTTCTGTACACTGATTTTGTATCCTGTGACATTACTGAATTCATGTATTAGTTCTAGCAACTTTTTGGTGGAATCTTTCAGGTTTTCTATATATAGTATCATGTGATCTGCAAATAGTGAAAGTTTAACTTCTTCCTTGTCTATTTGGAGGCCTTTTATTTCTTTTTATTGTCCAACTGATGAGGCTAGGACTTCCAGTACTATGTTAAATAACAGTGGTGAGACGTCCCTGTCTTGTTCCTGACAATAGAAGAAAAGTTCTCAGTTTTTCCTCATTGAAGATGATATTAGCTGCGGGTTTTTGTATATGGCCTTTATTATGTTGAAGTATGTTCCCTCTATCCTACTTTGTTGGGGTTTTCAAGAATGGATGCTGTATTTTGTCAAATGCTTTTTTTTTTTTTTTGCACCTATTGAGAGGATCATATGGTTCTTATCCTTTCTTTTATTATGTGGTGTACCATATTGATTGATTCATAAACCAAAGATGTACAAGTTCTATACTCCAAAAACTACAGAACACTTATGAAAGAAATTGAAGATGACACAAAGAAAGGGAAAAACATTCCATGCTCATGGATTGAAAGGACAAATGTTGTTAAAATGTCTATACTATCCAAAGTGATCTACACATTTAATGCAATCCCTATCAAAATACCAGCAGCATTTTTCACAGAGCTAGAACAAACAACCCTAAAATTTGTATAGAACCACAAAAGATCCTGAATAGCCAAAGGAATCCTGAAAAAGCAAAGCAAAGCTGGAGGCATCAAAATTCTGGACTTCAAGCTATATTACAAAGCTATCATGATCAAGACAGTATGGTACTGGCCCAGAAACAGACACATAGATCAATGGAACAGAACAGAAAACCCAGAAATGGACCCACAACTATATGGTCAACTAATCTTTAAGAAAGAAGGAATGAATATCCAATGGCAAAAAGACAGTCCCTTTAACAAATGGTATTACGAAAACACCAGCATGCAAAAGAAAGAAACTGGACCACTTTCTTACTCCATACACAAAAATAAATTCAAATTGAATGAAAGACCTAAATGTGAGACAGTATACCATCAAAATCCTAGAGAATAACACAGGCAGTAACCTCAGCCATAGCAGCTTCTTACTAGATACATCTCCGGAGGCAAGGGAAACAAAGTAAACATGAACTACTGGGACTTCATCAAGATAAAAAGCTTCTGTACAATGAAGGAAACAATCAACAAAACTAAAAAGCAACTATGGAATGGGAGAAAGTATTTGCAAATGACATATCTGATAAAGGGTTAATATCCAAAATAAATAAAGAACTTATAAAACTCAACACCCAAAAAGACAAATAATCCAGTTAAAAAATGGGCAGAAGACAGGAATACACACTTTTCCAAAGAAGTCATCCAGATGGCCAACAGACATATGAAAAGATACTCAACATCACTCAGCATCAGGGAAATACAAATCAAAACCACAATGAGATACCACCTCACACCAGTCAGAATGGCTAAAATTAACAGCACAAGAAACAACAGGTGTTGGTGAGGAAGCAGAGAAAGGGAAACCCTCTTGCACTGTTGGTGGGAATGCAAACTGATACAACCACTCTGGAAAACAGTATGGAAGTCCCTCAAAAAGTTAAAAAATAGACCTACTCTATGACCCAGCAATTCCACTACCTGGTATTTACCCAAAGGATTCAAAAATACTGATTTAAAGGGATACATGCACCTGATGTTCATAGCAACATTATCAACAATAGTCAAATTATGGAAAAAACCCAAATGTCCACCATCAACTGATGAATGGATAAAGAAGATACAATTTTATATATTAATATATATTTATATATTAATATATATTTATATATTGATATATATTTATATATTTAAAAATATATTTGGAAATATAATTTATAAATATATTATTAATATATATATTTAAATTTATAAATTATATATTTAAATATATTTATATATATTTTTATATATATTCTATAATATATAAATATATTAGAGTTCTAATTAGAGCAATTCAGGTGTGGAATTTAGTGATTCACCACTTACATACATATATACACACATACACAATGGAATATTACTCAGCAATAAAAAAAAATGAAATCTTGCCCTTTGCAATGATGTGGATAGAGCTAGAGAGTATTATGCTAAGTCAAGTAAGTGAGTCAGAGAAAGACAAATGCCATGTGATTTCACTCATATGTGGAATTTAAGAAACAAAACAGATGAACATGGAAGGGAGAAGAGAGAGACAAACCAGAAAATAGACTCTGATTTATAGAGATCAAACTGCAAGATGCTGGAGGGGAAGTGGGCTGGAAGATGGTTAAATGGTGATGGTTTTAAAAAAGGGCACTTGTGATGATCAGTAGGTGCTGTATGTAAGTGATGAATCACTAGATTCTACCCCTGAAACTAATATTAGTCTGTATGTTAACTAACTGGAATAAATAAAAACTTGAAACTAGAAAAAAAATGAATGGAAAACAAAATAAATAAATAAATACAAAATAAAACATATATAACATTTACAATTTACACATTTAAAGTATTCAATTCACTGTTTTTAAAATATATTCACAAAACTGTATAACTATTTCCATAGTTATTTGTAGAGGACACTGGATTTTAAATGTTCTTACCACAAAAAAGAGGATAATTATGTGACATGATGCAAGTGTTAACTAATACTAGGGTAGTAATCATACTGCAATATATAAATATATCAATTCAACACATCGTACACATTAAATACACAATTTTGTATGTCAATTATATCTCAATATATCTCAAACTTATACTAATTATACTTCAGACTTATACTAATAAAATTCCAGTAAGTCCAGTGAGGTATAGAAATGCTACTCTCATATAGCATTACGCCATCCCATTTTTACACTGCTGTTATACATATTACATCTATAAATATAAAGTTATTGTTGTAATTGTTATAATTGTTTCTTTGTAAAATTTTATGCCTTTTAAAGAAGCTGAGATAAGAAAAAATAGCAAGTATATGTTTATGATATGTATTAATCTTTTTATTTACAACTTCTGGTTCTGTCATTTGTTTCTGTGGATTCAAGTTACCATCTGATATAATTTTTTTTTACCTGAATATACTGTTCCTACCCATCTTCTTTGTGCTATTGTGAAATATACTACATGTCTATATGTCATAGGTCTAATAGTACAAACATATACATATTGTTTTCTACAATTGCCTCCTAAATCAA